CAGACACGTCTGGGGGATGGGGGGGCCTGCAGACACGTCTGGGGAGACGGGGGGCCTGCAGACACGTCTGGGGAGACGGGGGGGCCTGCAGACATGTCTGGGGAGAGGGGGTGGAGACGAGGATCGCAGGGCTAGAAGAGATAGTTACCCAGGGTTCTTGGGCTCACTCTCCCGTGAGCTTCCTCCCTTCAGCTTCCTAACCAGCTTCTCGCTGCTGCGTCTAATGGAGGCCCGGAGCTTGCTAAAGGAACCACTGCGTTTTAAAGATCCAGTGCCGTCCTGAAAGAGACGTGAACAGGTGTGACGTGCCATGGCCCATCCTCGCGGCCCCAGAGGCAGCAAGCACTGTGCAGGCCACCCCGCATCGGTAAGCCGATGGTGACACGGTTCCTGCAGGCATCACCAGCTGCCCGTGAGCGTGGATACGCGGTAAACGGAAATCAGCCCATTACAATTTCATTAAGGATAACCAATGATCATGCAAACTTCTGAACGTGAAGAAGCTTTTTCAAACAAAAGTGTAACATCTCCAGAGAACAAGTGAATATATTGCTGTTTTGAGACAAGAGGCAATATACAAAAAAGTCTCAAGAAAATGAAGGCAGCTTCTAGGAATTATCAAAATCAAATTCCAAGTTTAGCAAACATGTGGGCACCTGGTCCAGGAGACAGCACAGGACCCGAAACGCTCAGCCGTGACAGAGCCAACTTTCTCTGAACAGTGTCACTGAAATGCAATTCTTATATGTACTGTTTTCTCAGAATGCTTTTATTAAATGTCGACTCTAAATTTGGTTAGAAAAGTAAATAATGCTCAGTCTAAACAAGTAACCCAAACCCCTCGAACCCCTTCTAAGAAGCTGAAAGAGTGGCCCAGCTTTCATGTAACTGACTCAGACATAAAACATGAAGTATCTGGATGTGAAAGAGCAAAAACACAGGGAAGGAAATACGCACACAGCAACCTTTATTCCCAGGATGGGTCACTCGGTAAGCTCACCCATAACCACCCGCTGCTTCTAGAAGCTACGAAAAGGTGCGTGGAAGGAGCGAGGGGTCCTGTGAGGCACACAGACACCAAGACACCAGTCAGTTGGAGTGAGTTTATTAGAAGTTAGAAAGACACAAATCACATATCACTGAACACTCAGAGATTAGTAGAGAAAAGCAGAATTGCTAAACTTGCACACAAAGACTAGACCATACAGGCTACGTCAGAGGGTCCTAGGTGGGGCCGTGGTCTCTGCGCACGGGGGGGCCGTGCGGCACACGCCGGCTCCCACAGCCGGCACGCCACAGGCCACCACCGTGCCAGTGTGAACACCTCGCAGAGACTTAACGACCACGGACCCAAGTGCACAGCTAATCGCTCTTCATGTGAACGCTGTGGGCCACGTAAGTGGTGTTTATTAATACAGCAGTGTACATTACCGAGTACATTTCTGGCAAAGCTACAAGTATACAGAAGTAAGGACCCTCGAGAGAGAGAGCAGCGCCGAGAGGGGCGGCCGGTCGCAGAGTGGAGCTCTGACAGAATCCTAGGTTGCTAAGCACAGCAGTCAGCACGGGGAGGAGAGGAGGGAAGTTGCAGGCGGTGACGCCCGTCATGCAGGAGACAGCGTAAGACCCCAAGGCAGCTAGGCCTGTCAGACAGAAACGAGAGAGAGTCCAATGAGACTGTCCCGAGAGAAGAAGGGGTGCCCGCTTCCCCCTGCGCACCGCCGGCTTCACAGTATTTCTAGGTCACGAAGGCTCAGCAGCATCTTTCACTGCTTGAGTATTTGGGGTTACCTTCTCCTGCTTCTATCAGCTGAGTGTAAAACAGGTACTGGACCTTCTGCTGCATCTCATGTAATCTAGTCTGTTCCTAACAGCCAACAAAATACAATTCAGCACTCCTTGATACTTCGAGAGGCTTTTTTTCGCGTGACTGTGCACAGGAGCGCCTGCAACGGAACCCTCCACAGGGAGCAGACCAAACCCAGGCTGCCCACAGGCAGAGCACGCCCAAGGGAGTGTTAACTCCCATGGGAGCCCGCTTCTCCGGAATGAGAAAATGCAGCCCAACAGGCAGGGCTTCATTCTCTGAACAGCACTAATGCTTCAGACGTTTCAGAAACTTAAAGGAAGCACCAGCTTTAAAAGTCTCCAGCACATGTGACACATGCAGTCGACAGCGGGAATGACATTAAGGACAGGAGACGGGCTTCCAGAGGCGGCCGGACGGAGGAGCAGCAGGCGCTGGCCCTGTGCCCGCCAGTCTCACTCACCACGGGATGCGGGTCATTTAACCAGCCCGAGCTTCACGTTTCTCATCTTTAAATGGAAAAATAACACTCGTTACCAACTCCCCGAGGATGTTGGAGGACAAGAAAGCATAAGTAAGCTCTTGCTGCTCTTCAGAAATAGAATTCTACCACATTAATTCCACAGGTAGTACGACCCCTGCTGTTCATGGCGAGGCTTAGTGCTACCACCGCAGGGGACGTGTAACACCCAGTGGGAGAGCCTCGGCAGAAGCTTATGACCAGTTTCACTCAGGAGTCGTGAGATCTCATACACACACACACACTCAGCCCAGGAGTGACAGGCCGCCGGGATGGGCAGCGTGGCCCCGCAGACCTGGGTTCAGAGTCCCCACCCACCCAGCCCATTTCCATTCAGCGTGGGCTGAAGGGCTGGGAGATTTCTGTGTGTCCCCCACCTCAGAAAACAGTCTCCCTCTTCATGCTGATGTGAAAGACAGTCACATCCAAAAAGTGGGTTCTGAACAGAAATGAACAGTACAGTGTATTGGCTAAAAAATGTACAGCGGTTGCTATTATCTGTGGATTTGAGATGACTATTTTCTTTCTGGTATATTCTAGCTGTCATCCTAGTGCAATTTTTTAAGAATAAAAATCTATGTCTAACCAGTATATCCCATTGCCCAATAATCCTGGGTAATAGGTTAGTGTCTTAAAAACCTTCTCAAATGTTAATGGGGAGCGGGATGAGAAGCATGGGGGGCTCCCTGCGAAGGGGTCCAGCAGAGAACTGGGGAGTGGAGAAAGGGCCGCAGGGCAGGAATCTGGTTTCCAGAGCTCACGCTTCATCTCCAATTTACCATACGGAATTTTAAATTACGCCTCCAGCAGGAGAGCAGGAAATAAGATTCCCAGATGCCACCACCACCCAGAGAGCCTCCTGTATGGTCTCCGTGGGGATCCAGAGGCGGTGACTGACGCAGCCTATCACACATCTGACGCGAAGCCGTGTGCACAGAGGCTAAGGGATCCAACTTTACCCAGAGAATGACTAATCTGCACACAGCACCTGAGGTCTGAGGAGTCGGTCCATAAGCAACATCTTTACAGTGCCTGATGAAGACCTGTGCTCATTATTCAAAAATGATGCTAAGGAAGCTACAGTTTCAGGTGGCTTAGTCATAATCTTTACGACACATATTTAATAGAATCGCACTCCCCTAAACAAATTACCTAGCATGTCAAGAATCAGATCCAAAACACACCGGATTAATCACTACTCTCCGGCAGCCTTGCCCTCGGAGCACTGTGACAGCGCAGTGCTCAGCTCTGGCTGGTACAGACCGCCGGCATCCACGGGGACCAGTTACTGTAACCTAGTGAGCCTTAGCTCTGACCACGCTACCCTTACGTTAAATGTTATTTCTGAACCCTGGGAGACATGAGGCCTGCCACCTTGTATATGGGGATCGTCACTTCATCCACGGCCCCCGTGCCTCTCCCTGCCGTCCTCCCTGCTGGAGTTGAGGTGTCTAACAGAGCAAACAGTGCTTCTCCCTAATGTGGCGGCTTTCAAACTTGTTCAAAGCACTGAAGCCCTCTTTTAAAAGGCAGAAACCACATGCAGAATCTCAAAATAAAATCAAAATGGCATGTTCTCATAGGAATGGATGGCAAGGTCTTAAAAGCTTGCAAGCAGCCATCCAAGGCACAGTAATTGCTCTCTATTCACCTGGAGCAAGAGAGAGAGAAGGAGAGTCAGGAACAGAAGGAGGTTATGGAATGTGTGGCTGACCGCCACCACGAGACCAGAAGAAGTAGATGGCTCCCGGCCACCATTACTCAACATTTTGATCAAAGATTCCACAGAGGAATCCTGGTCAACAGGGGGAGAATATGGACCAGAATTTCAAACTCTCACGGACTCCAGACTTCCTGGAGCCATGGAGGCTGGATGAACCCCGAAACTATTGCCCTGAGATGATCTTTAAACCTGAAACCAAACATATGCCCTGAAGTCTGCTTAAAGTCAAACAACAGCTTAGCTTAACTAGTAAAAAATGTCTGCCTTGAGCATTATGCTCTTTTAAGGTCTATCTATATGGGACCAAAATGACAACAGCAACTTGAAAGATTAGACAGGAACCGCAGGGGGCAGTGAATTTGTTAACTGGGGAGGAACAACTCAGAAAAGGAGGGTGAGAATGGTTGCACAACTGGAAAAATGTAATCAGTGTCACTGAGTTGTACTGTAAAACTGCTGAACTGGTATGTGTTTGTCTGTGTATATTCACAACAAAATAAATTATTAGTAAAAAAAGCAACGTATGACGAGCCATTACTAGAATAAAGTCGAGCGCCGACATCATGGCGCTGCCTCTGCGAAGCCCACGTGGGAGGCCGAGGCTCTGGTGCAGATGTTGTCCTCCGCAACCCCCAGCTGGTTCCTGCATTTGATCTCGACCGTACGGGACCGAGAACACCGGGGTGCACACAAGTAAGGGGCGGCAAAGGATGACGGTTTTAAACTGCTGGCCTTACAATCTCGGGAAAACCTCAGGCACGGGGACCTGAGGTCTCTGGAGGACGCATGACTGCGCTGGGTGTACTGCACCAACACCCACATCACACAGGACAGTGAAAATGGGCTCGTCTAGTACAGGTACTCACACCTCAATAAAGGTGGTTCAGAAACGCACCTAAGTGTGCATACTGCCTTCACTGCCTTTTTAAAATAATGAAAGTGCATCTGAAATTAAAGTCAAACTGAATGCTGGCAGAGCTTAGCACTACCTTCTCAGAACCTCAGAGCATCTAGGAAAGGAGTCCGAGAGCCAGCACCTCCCTGCAGAGGGGAGGGTGGCCTGCGTCTGCGAGGATGCCTCGTGACCAGTAATGAGAGAGCCCCTCAGCCGCCTTCCCTGTTTACCCAGGCAGGTCCCCGTGTACCCGCTGTAGGCAAGACTCCATGTGAAGAAAGGGTCCCTTCTACTGCTCAAAAGGAAGTTAGAGACCACTGGGCTAGACGACCTAGGATTTATAATCTATAAGTCAGTCAATCAACTTGGAATAGATTTCATCGAAGATGTACAGCCACTCACTCAGTGTCTCAGAGTCAGGCACATTGGCTCTGAAAAGAAAAACATCATGTCAGTTCCTAAAGAAAATAATTCTGAAGGGGATATGATAACACCAAAATCACAGTGTATGAGTGTAACAGAGTCGTGAGTGTCCTAGAGCAATGAGTGTAGTAATGAGTATCTTAGAGTACGAGTGCCCTAGAACAATGAGTGTAATAGAGTGAGTATCCTAAAGTATCAGTGCCCTAAAGTAATGAGTGTCCTAGACTATAAGTGTCCTAGAGTAATGAGTGTCCTGGAGTAATGAGTATAACAGAGTAATGACTATTCTAGAGTATAATAGAGTAACGAGTGTAATAGAGTAATGAGTATCCTAAAGTATCAGTGCCCTAAAGTAATGAGCGCCCTAGAGTGTGAGTGTCCTAGAGTAATGAGTGTAACAGAGTAATGAGTATCCTATAGCATGAGTGTCCTCCAGTAATGAGTGTAATAGAGTAATGACTGTCCTAGAGTAATGACTATCCTAGAGTATGTGTAATAGAGTAATGAGTACAACAGAGTAATGACTATGCTAGAGCATGAGTGTTATAGAGTAATGAGTGCAACAGAGTAATAAGTGTCCTAGAGTAATGAGTGTAATAGAATAGTGAGTGTCCTAGAGTATGAGTGTAGTAGAGTAGTCAATGTCTCAGAGTAGTAAGTATCTTACAGTGTAAGTGCCCTAGAGTAATGAGTGTAACAGTGTGAGTGTAACAGAGTAATGAGTGTCCTAGAGTAGTACATCAACAGGAAATGGAAGAAGAGACAAGCCTGCACTCAGAGGACGGCTGCTTCCACCCACTGTGGTGTAACCCAGCCCAGAGGGCTGATGGAATCCTCCCACCGAACCCCACCGCAAAGTCAGATATCCATGCACCGAGCAGCGGAGTCTGCCCAACAGCACAATAACAGCAGGTCTCCTTAACCCTGATTCCCAGTCTCTAGGGCAGTGACAGAACTCTGGGTTGTCAACAATTTTATTGTTGAGTGGTTTCATATAAATGCTGACCTAGAAATACTGTCTCAAGAAGGTTCCTGCAGAACGCCCTCAAGAGTCACAATCTGCAGGCTGCCTCGAGCGGCTGGAGAAGGACTTGCCCCTAGAACCAAGCATGCGGCAGACAGCAGCCCAGGGACGAGTACAGTACACAGTTCTAAGATGGGCCAACAGGAAGAGCTAAACCATCGCTTTACTGTGACTACTGCCCAACAGGGCTAATGGTCAGAACAGATGCTGATTGGTTGTCTTGGCACAGAGAAAACCAGAGCCAAGGACGCTGCCAGATAAGACAGTCAAAAGAAGCTTCTCCCAGAAGTTTTGGCCATTAACATTTTTTTACAAAATGTTTATTTAGAATGCTAATTCTCACCAATCTGCTACAGCTATAAAAAATCCTAAGGAATAAATAGGTTCAAACAGTAAGGTAGTTAGATTATAAGAAAGCCCCCAACTACTATCTAGCAAGACATCCGCACAGTTACAATCAATCAATCTCAAGTCCTGCCACTTGGAAAACATAGGCAGTGCACCTGGCTGCACCCAAACTAAGCCTGCGTCCTACCCTCTCTGATAAAGCAAACTCCAAAGGCACCAGACTTATGTGCACTAAAAATTATCCGTGTGTTACAAAAACACACTAGAAAGAGACGTGCAGAGGCCAAATGCTCTCCAGAGGCCAAACGGCGAGAGCAGAAGGAGGGCCTGCCAGCCCTCAGAAGGTCTGACATGCTGCAAACACAGCCATGTGTCCAGGCTGGTAAGCCGCAGCAGGTGACTGGGAAGAGCGATGGTCACTGGACCCCACTCTCAGGGACGTATGATCTCCAGGACAGGTGGGACCTAAAGAAAAGCTGCCACCTAACATTTCTGCTCTTAAGCTATTTTAAAAAACACTCTAGTTTAAACATCATTCCCCTTGAAGGCATTTTAACTAATTCTAACAAAACCTACAGCAGTCTGGTCAGCGAAATTAGGAGTACTGAAGTTAGCAATGAGATGGGTTAAGTTAAAAAAGCAAGTTAGTTATTTGGCACGCTAATCCGAGTATTAAAATAGAGCCAGATACGGATTATGCTTTCAATAACCAGGACACTCAATCAGCATGTTAAGTGGTCAAAGTGAAGCCAAACAGCTTCCATCGGTTCCTACAAGAGAGAAGTGACCTCTTCAACAGGACCAGGCTCGTGCTGGCTGGAGCCTCACAGGTGCAGTGTGCCCCTGGTGAGAGGCAGAGCCCTCACCCGCCCCGCGCCGACTGTGGACTGTACTTACCCCGTTCCACTCTACGCTCATACTCACTTCCTCGCCACCGTCGGGGCCACTCTCGTACTTGACCACGTCCGTGCTGAGGCTCTCCCGGCTGCGCCGCTTCTCTGAACTCTCAGGGTCATTGAGCACTTCAGCCACTCTCTGCTTGTGTGCAGTGTCAAGACCCTGTGGTGGATGACAGCGACCCATCAGCACTTACGCTGTATAAACCTCACAGGAAAAGCACCAGCTCTTCATCTTTGCAGGGAAAAATCCAGACCAGTGGCTCCTGACGGGGTGGGGGTGGGGAATGACTGGGAGGACAAGGAGGGACTCCTCGGAGAGGGTGGTGCTGCACGGACTGAGGGGTGTGGTTACACGGGTGCATGTAGTCAAAACAGAGGAACTACACCCAGATTGCGGATTTCATCGTATGCACGTTTTACCTGAATGTAAAACAATGAGCTCCAGTTAATGATCCCCATGCTGAGATATGTAATGGCTACAGAGTATATGCAATGCTTCAAAAAATAAAAACTAGAAGGACTGATGGGTAGATAGATGGTGGAGACATGTAACAAAGCAAGCATGACAAGATGTTCATGATGGGATCTAGGGGCAAGTATCTGTGTAGGAAATACTGCTGGGTGCACAGGTGTGCCGTAACAGCACCCAGCTGTAGCACCAGCTACCAACAGACACAAAGCGTGTGCCTTAGGGGAAGATGCCTGCCCTCTGAGAGACCCAAAACATGAACGTTTTTGTCTGTCTTAGTGGGGTGAAGGAGGAAGGACTGTTCACTGAAGCCACTGATCTAAACAGCGATCAGGAGATGGTCACACACACCCTGGGCAGAGGGCAATGGGTACTGCACTTGCCCAAAGGGGCCTTCTGCTTTTCCTATCCCCCTCCCCAACTCTGGAGCCCTGGTGGTGCAGTGGTTAAAGTGCTCAGCTGCCAACCAAAAGGTTGGCAATGTGAACACCCACTGGCCGCTCCTTGGAAACCCTATGGGGCAGTTCTACTCCGTACTATAGGGTCGCTAAGAGTCGGAATCGACTCAACGGCAGTGGATGGGTTCTCCCCCTCCTTTCTGTACATGCTGTCGGACATGTAATCACTGTAGCTTGCTAGTATATTAACCCCGAGAGAGACGGGCTTCGGGGTTCCTCACCCATAGCGCGAAACGGGGTGTGCTTGGATGGGGTCATAACCTCCCACCCCAGAGCAGGAGCCTAAGTTTGGGGAACCTAGGCTGATGATGATGGGTACTGTTCTCCTCTTCCCTGTCCTTGATTCTGGGAACAACAAGCGCCTGTTGATCACACCAAGTGCCTGTTGATCACACCATCAGAGCAGGGTCTGCTCTGTGCTCTGCTCCTGACAGTCCTTCCTGCTGCGGCCTTGTGAACTCAGCACGCTGTGGAGTCCCTGCAACACTCTCTTCGAAAAGTCTCCTAATAAAATGCAGGGGAAATGCCCAGTCTGTACACTAAGTCCCCTGGTGACTCACCGCTCCAAAATCATGGATTATTTTATAATATAACACTTCTTTTAAAACAAGCCACTGATTTACAAAAGGCATTTGAACGGCAAGCTCTCACACCTTGACAAGCTCGCCTGTATTCTTCAAGGATCTCCTCACTCACACCTGAGCTACACAGAACCATGAGATCCTCCAATCTCCTTACTCACAGAGTGACACAGAAGCCGTCAGGACGCATCAGGGGTTGTTCCCAAGTGCATCTCAAGGCCGTCTGAGGACCACGATGTAATATGTTCATGTTCTACAGGGACTGTTATCCAAACACTCAGAAAAATGACTGCACCCTCCCTGTCTCTTCTCCATCACAGGGATGAGCCACACACAGATATGTGTTCCTGACTGTCACAGAAGAGCAGAGCTGCCAGGCAGGGAGGGGCCATTCTCAGGGAACATTTGCAATTCCTTTCTTTAAACTTTTGCAACTCTTAACTCTTTCTATACTTTATTCATCTCATACAGGCCACCTGACTTTTCAAACAAACCTAGACTGCTAACACCACAGCAGATGGCCACGGCTCCGAGTGGCCGTGCCACACCTTCAGAGCCGGCATGAGCACGGCAGGTGAGCTGACACAGGTGCGGCGCAGGCTCGGGGGCGGTCACGCCTGCAGCCCCACGCACCCACATGGTGCCAGTGCTCCCCGGCACCATGCAGTGTCCAGAGCCGCAAGCCTCAGTCAGAAGACACCGCAAGTCTCCAGGACATAAGAGAGGGCCGAAGGGAAAACGCCTCCTCCTGTGGCCTCCTCCAGGGCGTAGAGCAGGGTGGGCATCAGCCACTGCACCTCTGATGCTTTTCTGCTCTAATCGCTCTTTGTGGAGATTTTTCTAAAGAAAGAAATCCTAAGGTAGTGCGGGTAGTTTAAACCCAACCAGAGTGGCCAAAAGCAAACACTAACTGGCTACGTATGTGCCATCCAGGCAAAACCCCACACCTCCTACAACCCTAAAACCTCACACCTCCCCAACCCTAAAAACCCACACCTCCTGAACCATAAAACCCCACATCTCCCTAATCCTAAAACCCCACACCTCCCCCAACCCTAAAAACCCACACCTCCCTCCAACCCTAAAAGCCTACCCCCCCCTCCAACCCTAAAAACCCACACCTCCCCAACCCTAAAAACCCACACCTCCCTCCAACCCTAAAAGCTCACCCCTCCCTCCAACCCTAAAAACCCACACCTCCCTCCAACCCTAAAAGCTCACCCCTCCCTCCAACTCTAAAAACCCACACCTCCCTCCAACCCTAAAAGCCCACACCTCCCTCCAACCCTAAAAGCCCACACCTCCCTCCAACCCTAGAAGCCCACACTTCCCCAACCCTAAAAACCCACACCTCCCCTCCAGCCCTAAAACAAGAGAACGTGTGTGTGTCTGTGTCTGTGTGTGTCTGTGTGTGTGTCTGTGTCTGTGTGTGTCTGTGTATGTGCGTGCGTGCGTGCGTGCGTGCGTGTGTGTGATATACATATACCTACATACAAATCTTCCTTGCTGCAAAAACGGGTAATGAAGTTACGACCACAAGGCACGGACTTGCCTGTTTGCGTGACCTCATGGCGGCTCCCTCCAAGGTCTCCGCAGCCTCAAACTTGCCCTGGCGTCTGTAGAGTGCACCAAGGTTTTTCAGTGTTGTTGTGACAGTTGGACTGTAAGAAAGCACATCAGGGACAGAGGGATCAATGAAATCTCCGCTGTCGAGCCCCCACCACCAACAGCAGACTAAGCAATGGCAGACTTGTGTTTCGGTTAAAGCCTATTCCATTTCTAGGGCAATTTTTAAACTGTAAAATCTAAAAGGTTCTTCCACCTCAAGCACCTGGCCTACCAGTGTGTTTGACACAGCTCACGTCCATCCTGATGCTCGTTGAGGAAAACTCTGAGGATGGTGCTCACGCCGTGACACGTGTCCCCACAGGATGAGCCTGGCCCTGGCCTGCACGCAGTCTCTGGCGCCCCGCAGCCCGCAGCCCGCTCTCTCACAGCAACATCATGCCAGACCTGTCTGGTGAACCCTCTGCTGCCCACCAGAGGCACCAAGTCCTGTGCGGGGCAGTACTGAGACTCTAAAAGTCACGGGGAGAAGCAGAGCAAACCAGAACCTTCCTCTCAGTGGGGACTGAGGCCGGAGAATGAGCGTGTCTCGTCCGAAAGACTGTGGACAGAGAAGGCTGCGCTCTGAGGCTCAACAGAGCAGCCCACAAGAAGCACAGGTGCATAAACACATGGTCAGGCAGGTACGGCCACACTGCCGCCTCCTCTCTGCCCCTCAGAAAGGTGCCATTTCTCAGACAACACCTGCAGTGAAAGCAGCTGTTTGATCCTCTTTTTCATTCTTGTTTTCTCTTTTTACTTCGTTCACTCTTTGGACTTTGGGAAACTGTGAACTTACTACTTCAATTAAATGAAAACACAAACATGAAATTGCATATCACCACATCTAAAATGCACTTGCTCAAGATCACAGGCTGTAGTTTTCAGGAAAACCCCGTTTTTAAATCCAGAAATGAGATCTGTTCCACAGATCCTGGGGCAAAATGTGGAATAATGAGGCCAAAGCACAGCTAAGCCTTTCAGTACAAATGACAGCTTGTCCTAGAAATAAACCTGGACTTACTCAATACAGATCTGTCCCCTTTGAGAAAGATTTTCCCTCCTACTAATGATAGATACTTCAGTACAGACATAAAGAAGCAAAACGCCAAGGCTTTGAGACAATCAGAGAAGAGTGGAAGAAATAAAACACAGATGTAATGCATTACAGTGTGATGAGGAACCCAGAGGAGGAGGACTTATTCTGAGATGTTTCCTGGAACGTGACTGGGGCTGAGTCTTACAGCACAAGCAGAAGTCAGGACAAGAAAAGCAGGGACACACAGACACGGGAGCTGGGGCGGCGCAGCACATGCACCGGGAGCACAGACACAGACACGGGAGCTGGGGCGGCGCAGCACATGCACCGGGAGCACGGACACAGACGCGAGCTGGGGCGGGGCAGCACGTGCACCGGGAGCACAGACACGGGAGCTGGGGCGGGGCAGCGCGTGCACCGGGAGCACAGACACGGGAGCTGGGGCGGGGCAGCGCGTGCACCG